TCTTGAAAAGAGTGAAGGGGTAATTTTCTATATAGTATGTTTGATGTATATAATATCTGACTAACTTTGTTTGAACCTAATTTATTGAACTCAAAACATATTTGAATGTTCAAAAAATATAAATCATAAAACTCCAATGTTTAGATGTTATAGCATAATATAAAAATATATTAATTTGTTTGCATAATTAATATTTAGATTTTCTAAAATAATTTGTCATTTCAACAAAATATCTTTTAAAATTATAATAGTAATCGTGCAACGCACGATCCCTACTAGTATAATATAAATTGAGACAACAATAAAGATACCCTTCACCTTTTCAACAATATCAAGAGTGTGTTTGGTAGGGATTTTTGGGAGAAAAATTGATTTTTGAATAGTGATATGATGGGAAATGTGTGGTTGAAAAAGAAGAAAAAAGTATTGATGTGATGGAAAATATTATTTTATTGAAGAATGTGTGGTTGAAAATGAGAATTGATTTAAAGTGAGATGATAGGAAATGTGTGGTTGAAAAAGAAGAAAAAATTATTGATGTGACGGAAAATATTATTTTATTGAAGAATGTGTGGTTGAAAATGAGAATTGATTTACTGTAGAAAATCAAAATCCATACCAAACAGGCTCCAAATGTATTCTTCACATTTCAAAAATATTACTAATTTGCCATATTCTGAGATTTGAGTATCACACACACTTCTGATCACTTTTGAGTCATATATATATATATAAACATGAGTTTTTATTGATGAGCTTGAATTTGTTTATCTATAATATATTAAATATCACATCAAGTGAGAAACATTTTTTGGACGATTATAGCCCTACTACAATTCAATTATTTCAATAATACCTGACTTTTCATTTCTATTTAATTTACAAACTATAATAAATACTACAGAAGCCTTGTTCATGCATGTATTCAATTAATTAACATTCACGTCCATTTAATTGGTATTAATTAGAATTTCATATTTACATTCAAGTCCATGTTCCTATTATTAATTCTCAATTAATTAACATTCTTATTAATTCAATTAATATTAATTAGAATTTTATATTCATATTCACATTCATTTAATTAATATTAATTAGAATTTCACATTTAAGAATGAAATTCGTTATTCACATCATGTATTCTAGTTGACATCCAGTTTCGTTTAATTAAAAAATAAATTTTATTCATTTAATATAAATGATTTAACATCCATTGTCGCGTATACATTCTCTTGTATTAATTCTAAATTAATTAAAATTCACATTAATTTATATAACGTATTTGTTATTTATCTTCATTTATACATTTAGTTGTAATTCTAATACTTACGTTCAAGTATGCATTTCACTTTTTACGTACATGCATAATAATTAACATTTATTTTCAAGAGTTTGCATTTCTCTCATATTTTGATCAAAATGTTAAATGAAGGGTCAAATATTACTTTCACAATACTTATAAAGTATATAAGAATAACGTGCAACGCAAGTTCAACTTTGACTAGTATATATAAAATTTTATATAATTTATTATAAAATTATTCAGCAAATTTTATGTTTAGGAGAGATGATTTAAAGTGAAAATGATTTTTATGAAAAATGTGTAGATAATAAAGTGAAAAGTCATGAGTTCACGTGAAAAATTATTTTATTGAGAGTGTTAACCTATGATTTAATATTGCTCCATTTGTTTTTATTATAACAAATAAGATATCTATGTTTCTAACAAGTATTGCTTCTTGAATTTTTCATAAATCTTCGTAAACATTTAAAGGCTCAAATCGTCATTCGTTAAATAACGAGCTATAAAAAGAAACTCCGAGAGAACAATAACTTTGAAGATTAGAGTTTAGAAGTTATTTATCGAAATTTCAATTTATATGTAAATGTATCAACTCATCGATTTTTAGCAAGTGTATAAAGCTCAAACTATTTTTTATAATTCATCACTTGCATAAAGATGCTTTTGATATAAAAATGATTTTGGAAAAATGAACATTTTGATATTGAAAATTAAATTTCAAAATCTATATACTTCGGTCGACCGATCTGCTCGACCGAAGCGCCAGCCGAAACTCCAACGATTTGAATTTTACAACGGCTATATTCACACTTTGGTCGATCGAAATTGATCAATCGAAACTTCCTGATTTTCAATTTTTGATCTATAAATAGTCAATCTCTTTTACATTCAATTTAAAAAAATCACTTACAAGAGCAATTAAGAGAGTAATGGATGAACCACTTACAAGAGCAAACCGCTTACCTCAATCTCAGTATTCAATAGGTCAAGCTGGTCTGATGTAATGGATGACCTACCAAGCGGTCTCAATGAACAAATTCTTAACCGTGTCATTTGAATTTTCTTGAAATTCAAGCTCTATTATAATTTCATCTTTTGACCAAAGAGGAGCAAGATGTAGACTATATTGGATTTAATTGCTATCTTCGACCAATCTATATTGGAGGGTTGTCCGTATGTCGGTTCGATTCGGTTCTGAAGAGACCCGAACCGACTCAAAACTTTCGAGTATTTAATAAATGGACCGGTCAGATCCAAATATAATTATGGAACCGTTCGGGTTCGGTTTGGTTCAGTTCGATTCCGTACCATAATTAAATTTTTTAATATTTATAGCAACACTACATAAATACAATTAACGACATTTCATTCGTAATTTTTACAAATTAACGTAACCCAATTCAAAAACATATAAATAACTAGCCGTCCAATAAGATTAATTCAATGCATACAAATATCAAAAAGTAAATATTAATATTACAGTAACACTACATAAAATATATTCATTTGTTTCAAATGAAAATAGGCTAATGGGTTTTAAAAATGATTTGGGTTTTAAAATTAAAATTATAAAATAATCTGATTTATTTAATTAATTTGCTAATTTGTTTAGAAAAAAAAAATTCATTAATTCAATATAAAAAATAAACATATTATTTAGTTTTGGTTCTTATTCGGTTCTTCGGTTCTTAGTGTAGACCCAAGACCCGACCCAAACACATCGATTCTCGATTCGGGTACCCGTTCGGGTATTTAATTTATGAAGAACCGCTCGATTCGATTCGGTTCAGTCCGGTTCAGGACTTTTGGACACCCCTACTATATTGATTAACTGCTTTCATTATGTTGTTGCCATCAAATACCACTATTTTTTGTTTTGAATCTTCCAAACTATTTCTACAGGAGACCCAAGCCTATTATTTTTTTTATCGTACGAAAAAAGGTTCGATTCTCTTCATAAATGTAGAAGGTTGCTATATTCATGATCTCCCTCCCTCCCTCCCTCCCTCTAGACTATAGAGCTTCATGTTTATTCTATTTCTTTCCCTCTTTCATCTAATCTTTGAACGCAATTTATCTTTAGTGAAGTGATTGGCAGCCCTACACCTATCAATAATTGTATTTGGAGCGCTGCACAGTGCACAGGAGAGGAAGGAGAATGTGGAGCACAAGTCTATTATCATTGCACCATTTTAGTGGGGTGTCTAAAAGTATTATTTACAATAGAATATACCCACTTTCCGCCACCTTTGAAATCGATAAAGTTTCTATGCATTTATTATGACTTGCTCTGTTTTTGGCAAAACCAGTCATTTCAAAATCTGCCTAACGACTTGAGAGCTGTCGGCATGAAAAATTCTTGGATAGCACTGACTATAATGGAAAATACCCCGTAAAGTCCAGTATGATATTGTATACCAACTATGCATAGGTACTATATCTGATTTGCATAAAGTATATAAGAACATGCAATAAATCAATTTTGTAAATAAATGAACTTGTACAACAAATGAAGCTCTCCACGTACCAACCCAAGAAAAATAGTTCAGTAATCATGGCAAATATGTATCACATAATAATCAACGGCTCTATGGATCTACTAAATCAAAATCTAATAACAAAACTTTAAATACATATGTTGAACCAATATTAGGATAAAACATGAACCTCAAACTACAATTGAAGTTCAAAATCAAACTTGTTATACCCAATCTTTCGTGATATGAACAAAAGTAACACAAGAATTGGGTTCAGTTAGGATATTTTGCTGTTCAGCTGTCTCCTTGGGCAATAAACCTTAAGGATCCAAAGATGAAGACTCAGCCTTATGTTCCATAGGCACACATTAGGTCTTCGTGTTACATCTTGGCCCCACTCCCATCAGCTATAGGTCTGAACTCTACCAATACCCATTCAGCCATAGGTCTGAACTCTTCCAAAGACGCACCCACTACGGTAACATGGTATCATATGCTATAGCAATATGGTGGCCGAAAAATCTTACTGTTCTCTGTGCTACAGGCCAAACAGGGTTTAACGACTTCTTGTTGATGTGATGAACCAACAAGGAATTTCAGTGTCGACAAAACTCTCAGATAAACTAGAAATGCAAGTGAGCTAAATGTAATCATCAAGCTTAAGACTCCAAGCTCTCAAAATCAGTTCGTAGATTCAGGAAATGGAAGAGATGGAAAGGAAAGAATCAATGTTAAATTCGAATGAGCTGTGGGAAATGAATGGGAATGAAGGAAACCGAATGCATTACGCAATAAATATTCTTTTTACAATTCACCATTCAAGTTATCCAAATACATAAAGTTATAAGTAATCCATTCTCCTCTTCCATTTCCTCCACTTAAGTGATCATCTTATTACTACATTAATATCAAGATTACAGAATCAACTCTTCAACAATTCCTCATCTCAATGGCAAATTGATGAACTGTTATGACTAATGAACCACTTCTCCACCTAGAAAAGATTAATTTCAATGAAACTGACAACTATACATCCCTTATTATATAAACAATAACAGTCAAATCAAGAATTTAGTAACTATTAGGACAGATCAAATGAACATAATAATGTCTCCTACGAAAAGAGCCATTTTATTAGTACAAAGAACACAATAAATATACTCTTGAAGGTCTAAATCAACAGGAATTACATGCCAGACTAGAACAAGTACCTCCTCCAATCAGAAGCTAAAGAAACCATCCATTCCAGAACCCAAATTGTTGATAGCTTTAGGAGAATTCAACACATCTTGGAACCAATAATTATCAATTGAATCAAAACCATCAAGAATTCCATCAAAAATATTATTGATGTTATTGGATCCACCATTCATTGCCATCTCAACATTCTTCACATTAATCTCCTCGTCCTCCTCGTCCTCTACCATGGCTGCCACACCTTTCTCCTTTCCTTCGTCCCCTTCATCTAACACAGCCGGCATGTGCCCCTCGAACAATGCCATGTGCCCAAACAACTTGTCCTTGCGTGAAAAGCTTGTACCGCAAGTGCACTTCCACTTAATCTCCCCACAATGCTTCAAATGGCTCTTCAAATCCGATACAACCGAAAAACTCTTCTTGTTACACCTGGTACACGAATACATCTTCGGGCAATGGCTTCTCTTGAAGTGGTTCTTCACACAAGTCGCACTTTTCAGGGGCCTAAACTTCTTGTGCTGCTTGTTCCTATTACATCCAGCAAAAGGGCAAGAAAACCTTGTCCTCCGGCTAGTCAAAGCAACAGCCTTTTCGGGCTTCGCCAAAGCTTCAACGGTCTTGAACTGATTCCCGTGCGCTCTCATATGCATCCTCAGATTCGCGTCGCGCTTGAATCCTTTACCACAAATCTCACAAAAATGGACATGTTCCGCCAAGAGCTCTACAGCATCGAGCTCTATTATCTCAAAATCATCAGAATCATCGTCGATATGAATCTCAATCTTGGTAGCCGCTAAATCTTTACCCGTTGCAACAAATTTTCCCGGCTCCGGCTCCGGATCCGGGGTTTCTGATAAAACCCCAGATTTCAAATTATCATTTTCTTTCGGAATTGGATATACGGGAAAAGCTGGGGAGTTGGACAAAAGGGCCGCACCATTAAGAATAGTCTGTTGGATAGCAGATGCGATCTCAGACGAAACCATGTTCATTTGTGCTTGGTCTAACAAAGTGTTGCTGTTGACTGAATCTAAGAGGAATTTCTGGAGAGAGTCCATACGATTTTGGACTATTGACAGCTTCATCAAAGGGCTTTTAGTGTTCGCGCCGCCCACCTCAGCGGGGTAGGAGGTGGTGGCTCCGGGTGGCTTAGTGGCCGCCGGAGTATGACGTATGTCGTAGCAAAATGACATTTTTGCAGTTCAGAAATTATACGAATGGCAAACGAGTGAACGAGAAAAATGGCTTCGTAATTATAATGGGATTTTATACAACCGAGTCAGAAAGGTGCCAGGATTGACTTTATCTATGTTAGGGTGGGCTAAAACTGGCACGCGATTTAAGTGAGCACGTGTCGAAACGACCCTTTTCATCTGGATCGTCCAATTAAAATTTACAAATTTAATCAAAATGGCAGATATTATTTATTTATTTTTTGGTTAGTGAATATTGAAATTTTGTCATCATAATTTCTATAAAATAATTTCATGGAATGTCAACCTATAACACTTTTCTTCCAATATTCGATTTTTTTTAGAAAAGGCAGATGAAAAGTGATGTTTTCAATAATTGATGAGCGAATAATGAGTAAGAACTTGCATTTTGGAGGGAATAACGTCTAAAAAGTGAAAATGATGCTTAATACCCAGTAAAATGATAAGCAAAATGAGCAATTCATTCAAGGGAGGGCTTGCGTATAATTAGAAATCCCAAGACAAAAAAATAGGATAAAGCTACAAGTACAGAAAATTTATCACAGAAGAGATACAGAATTTCAAAAAATTCGAGGTGGCACTGCAATATTGATCTTTTCATGACACCACCAACTGACCACTTTTACCCACCCACAACCCAACACAGCCACCTTTTCCTTTTTTCCTTATTTATTGTTTTAAATTTTGAAATTATTACGTGAATATTAAATGAAGTCGAAATATTACATCCTTATAGCGGTGGCAAAAAAGCTCGGAGGCTTGGACGGATCGGGCTCGGCTCGGCTCGGAAAAAGCCCGAGCAGGGCCCGACTCGGGCTCGGGCCGGCCCGTGGCCCGAGTGAGCCAATATTAAAAAAATAAAAATAAAAAATTGAAGGTAGCTGCAGTGTGCTGCATGCAGGCAGCACAGCTGCCTTGCTGGCTGCAGGCAGCTATTTTGCAGGCAACTAAGAAAAGAAAAAAAAATCAAAAAAATTGAGCCGGCTCGGGCCAGAGCTTTTTTTTCCCGGCTCGGCTCAGCTCGTTGACACCGCTACATCCTTAACACCATTTCGAAGTACTCACGGCCTAATTTATTGCATTTTTATCCGCGTGCGAAACGGCCAACCGTAGCAAAAGTAACCACTCGTCGAAATAGGCCGTTCCAAAATATATAAATGTTTTTTTCCTATTTTTATCTCAATTTTCGGGGTTATCACGGGATGTCAAAGGAAATCCAAATCTCGTATTTTTAACATCATTTCGAAGTACTCACGGCCTAATTTATTGCATTTCTAACCGCGTGCGAAACGGCCAACCGTAGCAAAAGTAACCACTCGTCGAAATAGGCCGTTCCAAAATATATAAATGTTTTTTTCCTATTTTTATCTCAATTTTCGGGGTTATCACGGGATGTCAAAGGAAATCCAAATCTCGTATTTTTAACATCATTTCGAAGTACTCACGGCCTAATTTATTGCATTTCTAACCGCGTGCGAAACGGCCAACCGTAGCAAAAGTAACCACTCGTCGAAATAGGCCGTTCCAAAATATATAAATGTTTTTTTCCTATTTTTATCTCAATTTTCGGGGTTATCACGGGATGTCAAAGGAAATCCAAATCTCGTATTTTTAACATCATTTCGAAGTACTCACGGCCTAATTTATTGCATTTCTAACCGCGTGCGAAACGGCCAACCGTAGCAAAAGTAACCACTCGTCGAAATAGGCCGTTCCAAAATATATAAATGTTTTTTTCCTATTTTTATCTCAATTTTCGGGGTTATCACGGGATGTCAAAGGAAATCCAAATCTCGTATTTTTAACATCATTTCGAAGTACTCACGGCCTAATTTATTGCATTTCTAACCGCGTGCGAAACGGCCAACCGTAGCAAAAGTAACCACTCGTCGAAATAGGCCGTTCCAAAATATATAAATGTTTTTTTCCTATTTTTATCTCAATTTTCGGGGTTATCACGGGATGTCAAAGGAAATCCAAATCTCGTATTTTTAACATCATTTCGAAGTACTCACGGCCTAATTTATTGCATTTCTAACCGCGTGCGAAACGGCCAACCGTAGCAAAAGTAACCACTCGTCGAAATAGGCCGTTCCAAAATATATAAATGTTTTTTTCCTATTTTTATCTCAATTTTCGGGGTTATCACGGGATGTCAAAGGAAATCCAAATCTCGTATTTTTAACATCATTTCGAAGTACTCACGGCCTAATTTATTGCATTTCTAACCGCGTGCGAAACGGCCAACCGTAGCAAAAGTAACCACTCGTCGAAATAGGCCGTTCCAAAATATATAAATGTTTTTTTCCTATTTTTATCTCAATTTTCGGGGTTATCACGGGATGTCAAAGGAAATCCAAATCTCGTATTTTTAACATCATTTCGAAGTACTCACGGCCTAATTTATTGCATTTCTAACCGCGTGCGAAACGGCCAACCGTAGCAAAAGTAACCACTCGTCGAAATAGGCCGTTCCAAAATATATAAATGTTTTTTTCCTATTTTTATCTCAATTTTCGGGGTTATCACGGGATGTCAAAGGAAATCCAAATCTCGTATTTTTAACATCATTTCGAAGTACTCACGGCCTAATTTATTGCATTTCTAACCGCGTGCGAAACGGCCAACCGTAGCAAAAGTAACCACTCGTCGAAATAGGCCGTTCCAAAATATATAAATGTTTTTTTCCTATTTTTATCTCAATTTTCGGGGTTATCACGGGATGTCAAAGGAAATCCAAATCTCGTATTTTTAACATCATTTCGAAGTACTCACGGCCTAATTTATTGCATTTCTAACCGCGTGCGAAACGGCCAACCGTAGCAAAAGTAACCACTCGTCGAAATAGGTCGTTCCAAAATATATAAATGTTTTTTTCCTATTTTTATCTCAATTTTCGGGGTTATCACGGGATGTCAAAGGAAATCGAAATCTCGTATTTTTAACATCATTTCGAAGTACTCACGGCCTAGTTTATTGCATTTCTAACCGCGTGCGAAACGGCAAACCGTAGCAAAAGTTACCACTCGTCGATAAAATTTGAAAGTATTTAATACATGATTATTAGGCAGTTAAATAATTATTTGTTGGAATAATTTACAAGTAGCAATTAGATTTCATATGGAAAGTTTAGTTGACCTACAATAAAACTTCCCTTTCACTAGGATTGAATGTGGTTCGGTTTGATTTTCCAACCAAAATTTTTAGGTATTTAATAAGTGGAACCGTCAGGACTAAATTTAATTAGGGAACCTAATCGGTTTGATTCAGTTCGGTTCCATTTAATTTTTACCATAATTAATTTTTTTAACATTTACAGCAAACAATACGTCAATCCAATTAATGACATATTCAATCTGAGCTATTACAACAACACTATATTAATTAACTCTTACAAAATAACGTAGTCTAATTTTAAAAAATATACAAATAACAAATTATTTAATAAAATCCATTCACCAATGTATACAATTTACCTTGATCAAAGTGGATGGAATTTATTGAATATGACAGAAAAAAGGTAAGATGAAGATTGGCGAAGCCGCTCAACTTCGATTATTTGAAAAATGGAAGAATAATTGAGAGAAACTTAGGTCACTCAATTTTGATTCTTTGAAATTTGAATTACAAAATTGGGTTTGAGATGAAAACAAGAAAATGATATTTTTGGGTTTAATTAATTAGTTAGCAAATTTTTTTTAGAAAAAAATTAAAATAATTTGATTTATTTAAGATAAAGAAATTAGGAAGATTCGGTTCTTTTCTGATTTTCGAGTTTTGGTCTAAAACCGAGAACCGAATCAAATTCGTCAGTTCTCGATTTTGATACTCGTTCGAGTATTTAATTTAAGAAGAACCTAACATAACTGAATCGAACCGCGAGTCCGATCGCTGTTCGATTCGGTTATGGAGTTTCATTTAGCCCTATCTTTCACTAATCTTCAAGTTTTTGTGATCGATTACAAAAACATGTGAATGGAATTAGGAGGTATTACCGTATTAGTCCCTATTTTGTAGAGATTAAAATCTAAATTTCTATTGAACTTATAGTCAACAATTAATTTTAACTATATATTTTATCAGATTCATAACTTTTCAAATACATATTTATCAAATTTTATAAAAATATATTAAAAGTTTGAATATAATATCCATCGAACATGGGCTATATGTGCAACCTAAAATAAAATGTAAAGAATTGAGTATCACTTGACTTTGTTGATTGTAATTGATTGTTTTTGTAATTTGATTTAAAAAATTTACTTTTCATTCCTTTGCTTTCTTTATAAATGAATTTTTTATTTTTATAGAGACTCGGTTCGATCATAGTTGGATCTTTTGACCCTTGATCCTTTCTCTCTTTTCGGATCGATCATCCTATCGATTTTTAAAAGATTGGTAAAGATATTCATAAAGTTGGGTTAGTGGGACTCGACTTCTCTTGCTTCATTATAGTTTAATTGAATAGTATATTCAAACAATGACTATGATTTATGACAGAGGAAGTGGGAAAATGCGAATGCAATTTTAGCAGCTTCCTAGAACTAGAATATGCACTATTGCACCCCCCACCCCCACCCCCCAACAAACAATTTTATCAAACAGTTTGACCCCACCAATTTTTTTATAATTAAATTGAAAATTATATAATAACAGAGTAAAATGCGCATAATTTGACACCTTTCAAGTTCATTTTGTCCTCTTTCATGAACAATTTTTTTTTTTCTTCCAAATATGGTACAATAAATAAATACTATTTCTGAAATTAGATATAAATATAACGCATCAATTATTAGGCTAAGTCAGCATATTATATATCTTTAAATTAAATTCCAAACTAGAAGTTGAATTTTTTTTTTTTTTTTTATCAAATTTATACAAAGGATTCAACGTTAAAGATGTCCAAATATAATACTCATTTCTGCGCAAACGTTGAAGAAATAGATAAAAAGTAGGATTGTCTCTATGCAAATCCGCAA